TAGCTCCTGAGTGTACAAAGGGCGAAGACAAGGGGTGAAAACCTGGTGTTCACCAAAACACGGCAAAGTAGATTACACGATCTGTAATTACTGACAAGATGTGTCAGGACTTTCACTTTTTTTTAGGTGATACTTTTAGATCAGCACAATTCTGTGAGCTGCTTTACACTACAATGCATCTTATTTGTACTTTTATACATGAACAAATAAATAACTTATCAGAAAATAAGAAGATATTGACATTACAATAACCATAATATTTCATTTCAGTAAATGAGTGGTATTAAATACACTAGTATGCCCCTATGCTTGGCAGTTTTTATCAAGTGTTTATGTGCGAGTTGCTGCACAGTTGTTCAATATAAACAAATAAATCTAGATACAAAGTCAGACATTAGAAGATCACATGTTGTTCATATTCTGTATACTGAGAGGAATCAATATGGAAATACATTACCTGTATGTGTTCCTGGGTGATAAGCCATGGTCTGTGAGCTAGCAGTTTGTTGAGTGTCTGTAGGCGTTGGATTTTAGGTGGGGCACAGTGAAGACCTCTCAGCCATGAGACATCACCACCAGCCAAGAGAAACGCAGAGCTGTGCAGCTGCACCAGGTAAGAACACTGATGCCGTGCAGATGCCTGCGTAGACATACAGAAGGCAATGTTGCTATTAAGCAGAAACTCACTCACAGATATGCAGTCAATCAGGAGAATGTCAAGCGTGGCATCTTCTCTCACCATGATGATAATGTAGTGTCTCCATGACAGCGGCAAGGGGCCATCTGGCTGCAGCAAAGCATTCTGGGTGCGCAAGAAACAGCTCAGGTAGTCAGGATGCAGCCGCATTACCGCGACAAGATGATCAGCATGACTGACTGACAACAGGGAGTCTGTCATCACCTCTTGTTTGACTCCTTCATCCAAAATCTGACAGAGGTATAAAGAGACACTGATTTCAAGTTTAAAAAACCTAAGCCCAGAAAGCTATAATCGTTATGTTTACAACTTTTCAGCAACAACAAACACAACAACAATAATAAATAACGATATGAATAATGTACTTCACAAAGTGAAGTGAAATACACTTTTAAACAAACGTGCACTTCTCATAGATACATTTGCTACCCAAAATTCAGTTTGTTTTAAATAAACCATTCAAGCAAACATCTGCAGTTTAACTGCTCTGCATGTTGTCCAACATATCCAGCAATATAGGGACAAAAAAGGCAAGATACTGAAAACCACGCTGGCAGGTGCACTCCACAACCACTCTAAGAAATGTAATGGAGAGTCACCATTAAGGGATTAACAGGACTGTCTTTACTGTTGATACACACCACTTCAACTGGTATGAAGGCACTGGGCCCTGAGGACAAAGGCTGAGGGATCTCAACAGCACTCTCCTCCTGGGAGAAAGGGAGGGAGAGAGTGGGAGAAAGGGAGGGAGAGATCAGTGCTGGTTATTTCCATACAGTCGAACGGCTTTTAGTGCCAACCTAAGCTAGGTTAGCTTTTTTCAGAAACTGTACGAGCAAATTCATTCAAATTCAACTTCAGCACAGCGTTTGGTCTCTAAGCACCCTTTAACTTCGCTGACAGTTATGCCGTAAACATTACACTTTACTGTAATCAAAGTTACTGTAAATAAAGGCAGGTGTTGCAAAACACAACAATATCTCCACCGACAGCTCCAACTGCGCACAGACTCAGCTGCTGCTGCCTCCCTTCGCCTCAGCGCTGAGCTACCGTTACTGTTAAACCGTCCTAAAACGCCGAGACAGTAAACCCGGACGAGCAGAGACAGTGAACCTCACCTTCATCAGACGAGACCGTGTGCTGTAAGAACACGATAAACGGTGAGGAAGCGCTCTGAGGTGGTCCCGGTGTGTCCAGCAGTTCGCTCTCTTCGTTAACTCGGCTTGGATCGGCTCTGGACTGTCGCCGCTGAAAACAGGAAGTGCGCGCGGAGTGGGCGGGGCTCCTTGATTTCACAGCGCGCGGCTGTTGCATCACTTCAGCCTGCAGCGTGACGCAACCGAGCAGCAAGAACCAGCGGAGAGCCGCGATACCACTGACCTCAGCGATAACCGACAATACCAAGGCTAGAATCCCGATACCGGTATTTTTGTGCGCAGGTATTCTTGCAACCGTAAAAAGGTGAATTACTTTTGCTTTCTGGAATGAAATAAATCATATTTTAAAGTGTACTGGTATTAAATGAACGGCCACAACATGAGCTGGCACTCAATATGACTTTGTATTCAGTGAGAGGAGTGCTCTTGCTACCTTGCTAAGCTAGCTGATGTTTATCAGAGATGTTAGCAAAGTTAGCTATCAAAGTTAACCCACTGAACCTCACAAACATTGTGTGAGTTTATGTGCACTTATTTATCCAATAACTGTGTAAAATCTAATTTTGTCAGTAATCCGTTCAACGCCTTTGCATGAACTTGATCAAATGGGAAAAATCGTATTTCCGCTTTACAATGCGCCAATAAACACACAGAATAAGATGTGACGTGAATATAAATCTCCATGCTTGTTTGTTTTAAAACACTGAGTCATAAAGTATGCATATAGCAGAAAGTATGAATATACATCATCTAGACAACTAAGCATATTTAAATTCTTCATTTCGTCAAGCATGTAGCTGGTTTCAGCTTCGCCCCAAAAGTAAAGTTGCTATCTCATGGGTGCCGTGTTAAATGCTACTTGCTGTTCCTGGTACTGTGGTCCCTTTTCACATATGTGCGAACTGAGAAAAATGAAAGAAATCTGAGTAAGAATATACATGCACTGAAAAACCTGATTACTCAGCTAAAATCCAGCTCTCTATCAGATTTCTTAATTGGATTTCAGGGCCTCAATTTGATCTAAGAAATTGAAGTATACCATACATGATCACCGGAATAATCAGATAACTGCAGAAATCCGATAATGATCGGATTATTGCCTTGTGTTCAAACGAATGATGAACAGACCAACAGAAACGGTTCAGAAATACACACACACACACTATCCGAACGACTTATCCTCCTGGGTCGCGGGGGTGCAGGAGCATATCCCAGCAGTCACTGGGCAGAAAGCAGGAAACACCCTGGACAGGTCGCCAGTCCATCGCAGGGCAGACACACAGACATGTGCATTCACACACACACTCACACCTAGGCGCAATTTAGCATCTCCAATTTGCCTGACTGCATGTCTTTGTACTGTGAGAGGAAACCTACGCAAACACAGAGAGAACATGCAGACTCCACACAGAAAGGACCCCAGTCACCCAGCCAGGGAATTGAACCCAGGCCCTTCCTGCTGTGAGGCAAGGTAAAGATGTTTTTTCCTTCTCCTATAAAGTCACCATTTTGGAGATAAAAGGTTTTCTGATAGCAATAAAGTTTTGTTGGTCAGTGAGTACCATAGACAGTGGCCCACACTTCAAATCACAAGGTTCTTATTATAGAAAATATAACTGGATTATTCAGTATCTATCCACCCATTCCTAGAGTCTGAGATCAAGTTGTCTGTAACCAATATACAGTGGCCTGGACTGACAGAGGAAAAAGATGCAAAGGAGAAATGTTTGTTTGACTGAATGAAGAGTTGTGGTCAAATGGGAAAATAGTGTAGCATCGGATATTTAGCTTAATCTGGGAGATTAAATTAGTCATCCTTTAAAAACATATGGATAGCTAAACTACTTTAGCTAATGCTTCTTGATGTCTGGATAAAAATAAATAATAATAATCTCAGTGCCTCCATTAAAAATGAATTGAGCAGAACTCTGAATGGACTACAGCAATAATCACCACATTTTAGTGAAGTGGTCAGAATGCCAAAAAAACTATTTGTTAAATAAATATAGGGACTGGTATGGTCCAGTATGGCCCTGTAAAAAAAGTCTAATTATTATTGGATTATTATTAGATGTATTTTTAAAAGTGTCCTTTTTATGGGCCTAAATCCATAACCTGACCTAGTACAGGTTTACAGTAAGGAGCCAGTGGCAGTCGTCTAGGCCCCTATGTCACCTTGTTCAGTGCTCGTTTCGTGGACAAGACTTTGCTTGTAACTTGATTGCACAAGTGCCCCCAAACCAACACCCCAACCAAGTTATGTAACACACAACCACAAACACAGAGCATGCTGTAAACTACATTCAACCTTCTACACCTGGGGGTCCTAATCATATTCTTCTGCCTGTGCAGTTAGTTATCGGTGTGCCCACATCTTTCTATGCAAGCGAAAAGCTCAATGTGTTTTATTTTTTAGCATGGTCTGTGAGTATTCTGACTGTTTTTAGGAACATTTGTTCTGATGGGTTTCAGCACATAGCAGATTAATGTTTCCAGTTTAATGCCTTGTCGATCATTATAAATGTGAGGAAAACACTTTGAGTATTCTGACAGACCAGCTGTTCAGACTGGCTGACAAATGTGGCATTTCTGTGCAGTCTGGTATAATAATCTACCAATCACTGAATCATGGAAATGAATCACTATAAGTCAATATAACTCTACCACACGATGAAGTCATAAACAGGCCATTTTAACATTCTATCGTTTAGTCTATTAAACAAGCTTAAATTCACTTGACAAATACAAACACATGAAGAAAAATACAGACACAAGACAGATTTTTATTGAATTATAACAAGCAGGTTGGTCTTTAAATGCTTGTTTAGTGTTTGTGTGTGTGGGTCCATGTCTATGTCTGTGTGAATGTGAGTGTGAGTGTGTGTGTGTTTATGTGTACATGCATGTGTGAATGTGTATATGTGTGTGTGTTTAATACCTCCTGGAATATTTTATTTCAGAAAATAAACCACACAAGTGTTTCAAGTCCAATCTTGTATTAAATTAACCTTATATATATATTCCTCATATAAAATAAAAGATAGATTTTGTTTGGGCACAAGTTAAGGTGAAGGAAGTTTACAGACAGATGGAATAAGAGAAGATGGGGCAAAAAGGGAAATCTCCACTGGCTGCCATTTCCCAACTCACTACAGAAGGTACAAACTGGTAGAGCGCACCCTTAACATATATGCACTTTCATTGAGAACTTTTAAAGACTTACAGTATGCTTCCTGCAAGGACTCCTAATTGTTCTTATGTTTCTTTTAATGCACATAGGGTCTCAAAGGAAAGGCTATTCAATGCTCACACATATCTTCCCTTTCCTGTAATGGTGAAATCAGGTATGTCAGAGTCATGATCAGATCAGTGCTTCATCCCTGTGGAATTTAGTGATGAAAGCAAAAGGGAAAAGAAAGCAAAGAGGTCAGAAGTCACAGGAGGTGACTGAGGGGTATTTTACAAAAGGTGCGAGGGGTGGGGTTGTAAGAAAAGGTGATGCTCCCTCAAACAATCTTGTTCTCCAGAGCAGTGATCCTCTTTGTTACGCCCTCCAGTGATACAGTCGTCAAGGAAACGCTGTGAAACTTTTCAGTACTGTACAGTCCATTTCAAAACATGTCTAATATCTAATGTATTTAAATCTACTATTTGGTTGCATTATTCACTCCAGGGGTCCTCAGCTCAGGTCTTTGAAGGCTGCAGTCCAGCACAGTTTAGTAATTTCCCTGCTCTGCCACACCTGATCATTTACTGATGAGTTGCGTCCAGAGTCAGGCAGAATAAGTAGTGAAAAAGTATTGATGGCTGAATACTGAATACAGTATCCTATATGTATTCATTAACATATTTCATTACAATACACAAAACAGTAACATACTCAGAATACATTTAGAATACACTGGAATAAGACATATGGGAAAAACTCTGTTGTTGTCAGTTTAACTTAATTCAAACTGTTCCTTATAGGTTTTCTTAATTTCATTTATATGCTAATATGAACTAATTTGTATTTATTTGTGCACTGATTTTAAAGTAAACATTTAGAATGTTTCTTTTAATGACTGTGTATTTTGTTTGGTCTACTTTCTTTGGATGACCCCCAATAGATTATCTATAGATGTTCAATTTATTAACAAACTGTTTGTTGAAAGTCAGTTAATGGTTAATAGGGTTAGGTTTAGTACCAGATTTAGAATTATGACCAAGGTGTGGGTTAGGTTTAGGTTTTGGATTGTGGTTAAGGTTTGGGATCAAGGTGTAGGGTTTGGGAAAATTAAGGTAAATTTAATAATTAGTTAAATGCAGGTAAATGCAAGATGAGCATGAATTGTTCTAAAAATGTAAAAAGCAACTGTATTCTAACAACTGCCTGTTCAAAAACATGGACTGGATACAGATACTTCCGTATTATGTATATGTAATCAAATTCTGTAATGTCCCAACTCTGATTTCATCAGTCTGAGCAGGGAAATCTCCAAATCATGCTGGACTCGGGCTCTCCAGGACAGACAGATCCTTGATTTATCCACATTCACATACTTACCTCCTTAAAGCCTAAAACTATATAACATACATGTGAGAAAAGGATATATTTCTTTGTTAATGCCTGTAGTGCCTCCTCCACTTTCTTCTGGAACTTAGTAATAGAATCACATTCACAGGGGTCCTCCACTGCAAGCACGAGATCAATGAGAGCAATGAGTGTATGTCAAGAATGTCAAGGCATTTGTGTTTTCTGGATTTTGCTGTTGTAGCCATTATACCTGGACAAGTATTGATTTGCAGCTTCTTGGCGATCTGGTTCATGGTTTTGAAGTCGGCAGTATAGAAGTAATGATCACCAACTGGTTCAGATGCAATCTCTTTCAACTCGTCCTCAACAGCATTTCCTACTCCCACAGCATACATATTGAAGCCTAAAATACAAACCAAAACATGTAAGGTTTTCTTACAAACTCTCACTAAGCTCTTGTGTCCCATACTAATCTGAGCGTGCAGCCCATTTACCATTTTCCTTGGCCTTTCTTGCTGCATCTCCAATGTAGTCCTGTGATCGACCATCGGTGAAGACAATGCCCACCTTAGCCACTCCTGGCCTGGCGCCCTGACCGGGTGTGAAGCTGTTGTCCAGCAGGAATCGGAGAGCCTGGCCAGTCATGGTCCCACGCTCCATGTAGTCCATCTTCTTTACCGCTTCCTTCAGGTCTTTCTTGGTGGTGTAGCGTCCGAGAGGGAACTCCTGCTTTACAGCACTAGAGTACTGCACCAGGCCCACGTGTGTTCCCCTGTCTGACACGTCCAGCTTGTCTATAATCTGATTGATAAACTTCTTCACCAGCTCAAAGTTCTCAGGCCTCACGCTCTTCGAGCCATCTATCAGGAAGACTACATCTGTGGTAGCATCACTGCAGGCTGAGACAGGGAGAAGAGCAAGTTTGTGATTGGCTATCTTCAGCTGTCACCTAATAATTTTGCAGCGATCAAAATTTTCTTGATCTGATATCCCCATCGTAGATAATACAGCTGCACAGTGCACACTTCCACTATTAGTCTAACTTAGTCTAGCAAAACCAGTCCAATTTAGGTAAGATGTCATCGAAATCCAAAAAAAAGAAAAACAATTTGATTTTTCAAAGATTTCTTTCTACATCATTTCAGCACAACAGCTGTTTTTTACACTGTGTGAAAAATTCATGATAAACAGACCAAAATAATTTGCTTAGACAAAATATCTTTACATTGACTTACAGTAAAAGTAAAGAATGTTCTTCCTTTCTACTGTAAAGTTACCTTTTTGGAGATACTTTTTTATATGCTATAACATTATGACCACCTCCTTGTTACTACGCTCATTGTCCATTTTTTCAGCTCCACTTACTATATAGGTGCACTTTGTAGTTCTACAATTACAGAGTGTAGTCCATCTGCTTCTCTGCATACTTTGTTAGCCCCCTTTTACCCTGTTCTTCAGTGGTCAGGACCCTCATGGACCCTCACAGAGCAGGTACTATTTGGGTGGTGGATCATTCTCAGCACTGCAGTAACACTGATGTGGTTGTGGTGTGTTAGTGTGTGTTGTGCTGGTACAAGTGGATTAAACACTCCTACCTTGTCAGTCCACCTTGTAGATGTAAAGTCAGAGACGATAGCTGCTGCACAGTTTGTATTGGTCATCCTCTAGTCCTTCATTAGTGGTCACAGGACGCTGCCCACAAGACACTGTTGGCTGGATATTTTTGGTTGGTGGACTATTCTCTCTCCAGCAGTGACACTGAGGTGTTTAAAAACTCCAGCAGCACTGCTGTGTCTGATCCACTCAGACCAGCGCAACACAAACTAACACACCACCACCACATCAGTGTTACTGCATTTCTGAGAATGACCCACCACCCAAATAGTACCTGCTCTGTGAGGGTCCATGGGAGTCCTGACCACTGAAGAACAGGGTAAAAGGGGGCTAACAAAGTATGCAGAGAAACAGATGGACTACAGTCTGTAATTGTAGAACTACAAAGTGCACCTATATAGTAAGTGGTAGGTAGATGTATTACATCACAAAAACAATGAAAAATGGGCTGTTTTTGCAGCTTAATTTCCATGTATGGACTGTATGGACTGAGGAATGAAGGGTACATTTAAAACTTCAGCAACGTTTACCTACACAATCAAACTCAAACTGTATATTTGTTTTTCCATGATATGGAGCCATTAACTACGTTATGTAATGACCATTTTATGAAGTCTTGGAGACTTTCATATGTCTAATACACACAAAGTAACCTATTCCTTTCTCTCTGCTTTCAATGCACTGTTACTGCTAAGTGTATAATAGAAGTGCACTCAGATTTTGCATGTAGCTAATTTGACTTTGTTTTGATGAAAGACGGCTAGCTTAACCACATTCTTAAGCACATTCAAAGCACTGTCAGTGCAGATATTACATGTGTCTGTTAGATCATTTTCATTTCCAATTTTTAAATAGTTCCTCACTGCAGACACTTAAAGTATGCTTTGATCCATTCTCAGATGTTTTTTGTTTTTATTTCTTTATTTTACTATAAATTTAAGTAAACTGAAGAGTGCAAGTGGGAATGATGTGCAGGTTTGTGACCATGCTTGAAGGATGCACACTTATTCAAGTATTTCATACAGACATTTACCCAAAGCACCCACATACTCACCACTGCAGGTACGACCATCTGCCTTGAGTGTGTGGCCCTCCCTGCAGGCACACTTGAACGATCCAGGCACGCTGATGCAAATTTGCTCACAGTCATGATCACCTGTCGCGCACAGGTCGGACACTGTGCCGCCGTGGGTATCATGCAAACACATACACAGGATGGTAGATGGGGTGAGTTAGAAGGGAAAGAATAAAACTATGTGAGGAGAGAATGGAAGAGTAAATATGTGTGTCACATTTTAATGATTTGCTGCGCCCTCACAAAATGCTACACGTGAAAACAGCAAATCTTTAAAACAGACTGGAATATATCAGAGGACCAGGCACTTGAGGGTTTGCAGATTATTTTGGTGGGTTATAATGTGGTTTCAGGTGCCTGTTGCTCCAATGCAAGTTTGCTACAGCAGTGGTTCTCAAATTTGTGAATATTTCATGATTGCTGGTCCAATGAGAATTTTGAAAAGCAAGGCTTTCAGATACACTAGCATGCATGAAGCTAAAAATGTTTTACCTTCTCCTGTAAAGTTAACATCTTGCAACAGTAATGATTTGTATCTTTCAGTAACTTTGAGTTAATCCCATTTCAAATGTTGAGAACCACTGTCCTACAGTATCTGCATTCACATCACTGCTTTACTCCCCCGCCCCACAAGAGATGCACAGTGCTGCCTCCTGGGGGTGGGGCAGAAAAGAACACTAAAAGACTGCATGCCCCCAGAAACCCCCATGCCCACTACAGACTCTCTAGGCTACACATTAACTTTCGACACTGATGACAAAGAAATTTGATGATGGCAGTCTTTCCTGAGGTGTCCGTTCCTTTAACCCTCCTTTCATTACCCCTACTTTCTCCTCCTACTTCTACTCACCACAGAATGCCTCCTGGAACTTCTTGGTGAGCTTCTCGATGAGACTGTAGCTCTCCACGTAGTCCGTGTGCTCCTCCAGAGGCTCGCTGGCCATCTGCTTCAGCGTGTTCATGTCCACCCGGCCCACACCAATAGCAAAAATCTCAATGCCTGACTCCCGTGCTCTTGCTGCAATGTCACGCACGTTATCCTGTGGCCGGCCATCCGTAACAATGATAGCCACCTGTGAAGAGTCAAGAAGAACTTTGTGTCAACCCATCCATTTGCAAACATATGGTGGAACAAGCAGATGGTCTTATAGGGCTTTGGTGTGACATGTCATTCAGGGCCAGGATTTACAGGACCACACAACACAAGACATGGACTAAATGTAGCACACTATGCTACACAACAGTAAAAAACTAGACTCAAAGCCCAGCAACAAATACAATCCAATAAATGCACACTATAATACAGACAGTGAAATGTTTAGTACAAAACAGAACTGAGTAGATTAACTAGTAAGTACATTAATCTAGCAAATCATAGTAAGAGATACATGAATATCAGGTGATATAGAAATGTAGTACTATTTATATAGTCTGATTAAGAGCTCTGTGATGGGTACCAAATAAGTGATGTAATATATATATACTATAGGAGAGCTTTAGAGCTGATTATGATGAATTATACTGATGGGGCACAAGTATAGGTCTGCACTAGTAAGTACCTTTGAGACCACAAATAATGGTGTTAATACACTGTAATTCCTTCCTTATCCTCTAGATGGTATATCTGACCTTGCTGATATCTGGGGATTTGGTGCGTGCCCCCTCTCCCTCGCTGAAGGCCACGTTCATAGCAAACTGAATGGCCAGGCCGGTCATGGTGCCAGAAGACAGCGGCTCAATCTTTGACACGGCCTTGATCAGGCCAGCCTTTGTCTTGTGGGACTTCAGAGACACCTCGTTCTTCACCCGGCTGGCGTAGTTCACCACACCCACGCGTGTAGCATCAGGCCCCACATTCAAACCTTCTATGACTTTGGTGAGGAAGACCTTGACCTGCTCGAACTCAGAGGGCCGCACACTCCGAGAGCTGTCGATGATGAACACCAGGTCAATGGGCTTGGTATTGCACAGCCCTGCAGCTAAAGACAGAGGGAGTGAAACAGAGATGGAAAGAGTCAGAAGAAATGAGCTTAGTCTTGCAGAATGTATAACTTAACCCCTTGAACGCTAGGCTTATTACTCATTTTAATATTTATCTACAATGAAACTAATATGTAAATTATGTGGTTGTGGTAGTATGTTGAATTAAAGGGGCAAACACATTAAGATGGCATGAAAAGAAAATGAAAAACTACACACTACCTAGTAGGAGACCTCGCTATGAGTATTTAATTCAGTTCAATTAATTTGGAATAATTTGGAACTATACTGGATACCCAACTGAGATTGGAGGAAATAGACCAAGTACTATTTACAAAGTAGTAGGTATGGATAGGTCTGAAAAAAAACACAGCACATATTTTACTGAATATTATTATAATAAATTATAATTGATTATAACGTTCCATAAGTTACTCTTCGGATGCAAGAAAAATGTCCTATGTTTGGTGCGGATTCACTCTAGCCAGTGACCAGCTGGCTTTCTTAACCAAATGAAAGATAAGTGTATCTTACATCCTATGGCATATTCTGAATTTTCCCAGACTTGAAGCTCAAGAGACCTAAATTTACATCTTGTAAATTGGAAGGTTTTGTTTCAAATAAAACATGGAGTTGATTAAGCAAAGTACAAGAAAATAACACTGCTCTAATTCACTCACGGTGTTCCTTTTCAGTTTTGACTGAAGGTTTATTCACTTAAGATAGCTGTGACTAGCTGTGTGAGTTCAGGGTAAAACGATAGTGCTGATACTGGGTGGGGGCTGGAGGGTTTGGTGGGGTGAGACTGAGTGTAAAGTCTGCAGGTAGCTCAATAAACGTACAGTGTTGGCACGGCTCATAATAACACCCATTGATTAGACATTCACCCACAGATATTTGCACGTAGACACACATACACACATGCATATACATACCTACACACACACACACTCACAGAGTGAAGGACTTCTTTGTATGTAACTGTAGCAATGAAGTGAACAAATTTCTTCAAGCCTTCTTCCACTGAAAGAACGCTGCAGCTGCTCCTCTGGCTGTGTCAGAGTCAATTTAGATTCTGCTTGCTTTCACATATGATTCGATTCATATAATTAACATATTCAGCTCACATCTATTCAGCTCATGTATGTGTGTATATATATATATATATATATATATATATATATATATATATGTATATATATACGCTAACAGTTAACAGCATTAAACAGTATTAAATCTCTTAGAATAACCACAGAGAAACACTGCGGCAAGGTCAAAAATCACAATCAAATTCACAGTGGTGAAGCAGAAAGATAGTATGAGTCAATTTATCAGTTGCACTCATTCCATTGCACTCACTCAGCTTTAAATTAGAACATAAGTGCCAAAAAAGGGAAAATACCTCAGCACACAATCAGTATAACACACAGAATTAAAATATCCCTTTCTAGAGTGATTAATCAGTAAATCGGTCCTGGTGATGATGTTGAGTGAATCAGATGTAGGTCCGCACTCAGTGTTCATCCCCTCATTGCTGAACCAAAGCCTATTAGTCTGATGCTACAGATCAGAGGTCACCAGTCCTATCCACTAAGGGCTGGTGTGGCTGCAGGTTTTCATTCCAATCTAGCAGAAGCACATCTGTTTCCACCGTTTTAATCAGTTGGTTTAAGTGTTGATAAGTTATCTGAGTTGTGCTCCTGCTTGGTTGGAAAAAAATCTGCAGCCACACTGGTCTTTTGTGGCTAAGACTAGTGACACTTTCTGTAGATCAGTCACAGAAGAGGTATGAGAGGTGCTATTTCTTTGCTCACCCATAGCAGCAGCATTTCTGAAGTCTACAGTGGCTTGTGTTCCCACGATGCAGAGCAGCATCACAAACGCCAGCAACGCCATCCTGAATGCAGCGGGAGTCCTAACGACAGGCTCGGCTACCAGACACAGACTGATTCACACACAGAGAGACCCTCAGGTTATCAATACACTCACACACACACACACACACAGTAGGTTCAGAGACGTCCCCTCTCGGACCTGTCTCCATAAGGTGTGTGTGTGTATAGTTTGTCAGGGAGGAGGGGGAAATACCTGCTCCAAAAAAAATTTTGGATAGAAGTTTGGATAGGAAAGACAAACACACCTTGATCTGTGCAGTGTGTGTAAGTATATGTGTGCGTGTGCATAAGGTGGACCAGGTTCGTTTGGGGCCTGGGAGGGGCCTTCAAGTTGGGGCTGGACTCGAATAAACATTTAGATGAATCTCTCTTTTCTAGCTGGTTTTCCTCTCAAATTAATCTCACACACACACGGGAATTTATGTGCAGGAAGTGTGCGGGAAGCATGAGTGCTCTGCTAACACAGCTAGCCCTGTTCCAGCTTGTAAGTGGGTATGTGCACACTGCATATGCCACATAGTGCCCTCTGCATCTCACTGCAAGTGTATGTATGTATATGGCTGTGTGCTCACATGCACGTCAGCGCAAAGGAGCCTGGAGAACTTCTAGGAAATAGTGGAGATCTCGTTAAGGATTCACTATGCGTATGTATGTAACAGTACTTTGACTTGATGTATATGATTTGTATAGACAGACTAAAGGTGTGTTTGTAGTGAGTCAATGGGTTCTTTTAGAAGTGCTCGCTGCTGATACACAGGTAGCCTGTGTACACTCAGTCAAATGGCCAAAAACTGAATGAAAGCTTAAATGTATATAGGCCTACAGTGAGAAAAACAGCCTGCGGTCTTGCAAAGAACAGCCCAATGGCCTCACATACGAAACTGTCCTTCCTGTTTTATCATGAGAACATGTAGTTCTCACAAATGTAAAATGTAAACACACAACGTACACACAAACACATTATTTGAAATACTATGGCTAATGCCAGGCCTACACTTAAACCGGAAGACAATCATTTGGCTCTTGTATTTTTTATTTTTCAAAAAAAAAAATATTTTGATGACTGTCCAATTGTCCTCATGTACTAAATGACCATGTTTTCCTATCATAATGAGGACATCTGGTCCTCACAAAGGGCTAAATGCAAACAAATGTATGTGCACACACACACACACACACACACAAAAACAATCACAGGAACATAAGCATTTCAGGCTGTCTTAGGTCAGGTTCTTCTTCTGCTAGTTACAACACACACACACACACAGACAGAAAATAGAGTCACATCATTTTTCACACATTTATTTTTGCTTTATCTGCCAATATGCACAAAACAAACACCTAAAAATGCCCAGAAAAACAAACCATCAAACTAAATTTGAAGAATTTCCCGGAGGTTTTCTGTTTGCCTATGTAAATGTGTTTGTGTGTGTTTGCTTATATATTACATAACTCATACTTTCAATTTTTCAAAGCCTGATTTCTGTTTTCTTTAACCCCCCTCCTTCCATCCACTACTGAATGCTGGAAAATTCCCTTACATTTGGTATGTAGCATCATGACAGCAAAGGTTTTACATTCAACTGGTTAAGATATGTTTTAAAGCTTACATAAATAGCTTTTGAGAAACAACACTGCTTCTACATTAATTTTTTCACATGAAATTTCAATAAAAGCTGAAAATAAATCTTATTTAGCTTAAAGTGAACTGAATATGGAATTCAAATCCTTAAATCACACTACTTGTGTACTACATTGTACACAATTTTCTATTCAATTGTACTGCCAGATACTCATCATGTGCATTTGTCTCAAAGAACAGTGTTGTAAACAGCCATTACAGTGGTTTAAATCATATAAAAAAAAACAGTGCATCAATATTGAGCACATGCACAATACGTTTTATGTGACTTTTTCCCCTCTCTGTACACCTGTGTATAGATATATGAATATGTGCAGAACCGTGTGCTATGTATAGTGCTAAGCAAATAAGTGTGGACGTGCATGGAAGCCACCAGTGTGCGGTCCTTTTGTGCTTTAAGGCTCTTGATAGGCAGGAGGCAGGGAATCAGCTTTCATCTTCAGAGCCTCATCATAGGAGGGCAGTTTAACCTGTCAGTCAAAAACACAGCATCCGGTAATACAAGACACATAGCATAAAACTAAAACAGTATAAATTAATTGTTTACTTATATAAAAACAACTGATCTATATTTACTTATGATGCTATGAGAGGCAGAAGTAATTGTAGATTACAAGGATGTACAGACAGGATATCAAATGTATTTAGTATTACTTCAGTCAGTTTCTCATCAGGTAGTTAGTGTGAGGCTGGGACTCAAAGTTGAATATATAAAGAAAAAACGCACCCTCACACTGTTCTCTGCAGGGGGCTGCGATGGCGTCCAGTTTTCCCTCAGTGCATAGAAAGAACGCATTGACACCTGAAGCATGTACACCTACGCATCATACAAAAACACAAATCAACATACAGCCCGGTAAAACAGCCAGCATGCAGAAACACAACATACCCTTAACTCACAGGTGGCATAAAGGTGGACAGACACAGACACACACAGGCTCTATAGAAGGCAGGCAAATTTCTCATCCTCTTTAATTATATTTATAGAGAGAAGAAGAAAGTTCCTTTTTTTATGAATAACTCTATATTTGGTCTCAACCTCACCCCCTTCTTTCACCACATTCTTCTGTTTTCACACAGCTAAAAAGACCCTGACACCCACCAACAGGACAGACACACAGAGAGAGAGAGAGAGAGAGAGAGAGAGAGAGAGAGAGAGAGAGAGAGAGAGAGAGAGAGAGAGAGATTCTTCCGGACCATTTTTGGTAACTAACAAACAGCTTCTCAGAGAATCCGAGAACATTTTTAGCGTGAAAATGAAAGGAAGGGTCTGTGGGGGATGTGGTATTATTTATGGTAAACCGTCTATTAACTCTGAAATGGTTACAGGTACATAAACAGGCAAATAGGGGAAAAAAGCATGTGTACACACAACCTACACACAAACCTACACACAAACCTAGACACAAACACACACACATATAAACATACACACACACAGACCTTCAGCATTATGTACAACACAAAGAGTACTCCAAATATCATGGTGACTTGGCTTAACTCCTCCACCTCCAGCTTGGCACCTCCTTTAAGGTTCAACTGTAAAGACGAAAACATATTGGACTGGGGTTTAACATTAACCTGGGAGTTAGTGTCAGCATGCTGATGAGTCAGATTCACTAAAGTGAAAGTCTAATGCTGACTGTCGACAGTTAGGAAGAATGGCATGTGCACTACTTACAGTTTGCTATAAAAATATTAAAACATAGCTTGAACTTAATTTAATGATGCCACACATTTCTGTTGTTAAATAGAGCAGAATGAGCAAATATTGACTTTGTAACCTTAAAGGGCCCAAATCATGGAAAACTAAACATTCCTCATTTTTTTTTTTTAAATAAGAGTCGGTAGTATGTAAAAATGGTAAAAAGCTCCAAAATGTACCACACAGTCTGTATGTGGAAACATAGTTGCACAAAACAGCCTGTTTTGAATTCCGTTTTTGTTATGTCAAAAAACCCACTACCTAATTTACATAAATCTGCCTATTCAGCCTACATTAATTTGGTTCCACCCACTGACTCCCAAAGTTATAAGGACTGTCTCAGCCTGGATTGTTTTTCGAATGAGGCACAATCCAAGGCAGCCAATCATTACAGAGATCATTTACATATGACAGTTATAAAGGCAAAGTAACAAAAACATCCCGTTTAAAACTAAGGAATAAAGGGAGGTTGGAAAATGGTATAAAAAATATATATGGGCCCTTTAATATCACCATATTTTTTTGAGTACACACATGCCAAATAGTAATTACTTATGTTAATTATTTACGTTACATTACATACTGTGTGAAATACAAGATAGTTCTAATTGAAAAACTGATGAAAACTATGGCTTCTCTCAGTTAAAGTCCACAGTTTAGTTGTATATATTCAAGAGAGTAAATGTGGTATTGTGCGTGTGTGTTTCTCACGGCCAGTCGAAGGGCATCTCGGTATGTGGGGGTTCCAGGCAGACCCCATGGAGCAGCAAACAGTGAGAGGAGACTCAGAGCCACATCCAGAAACATGAACAACACAAACGGCACAACACACACCGGCCCCTATCACACAAACGCACAGAGACACACAAAGTTACTCACATTCTCACATTCATGTACACAAGGGAGGATCGTCTGCATATGAAAATGGGTTTTTGATTACACTGTTCATGTACAGTCTCATGGGTCTAAAAGGTAGTAAAGCTGGCATGTGTGTGTATGTGGTTTGGAAAGACTGTTAGGATTCCGTGTTGCACCAACATTCATAAATATTGAAACAAGCGCTCTTTCTGGAGACTCAGGATTCTGGGTAAATATTGGTGTCGGCTGTGGAGCCCAAACTCATTGGAGGTGAACAGAGATTGAAACAAAATGCCTCCGTGTACATACACACACACACACACACACCCACACCCACAGTCTGAGTGATTAAATCCAAAGCTTATCACTCGCTGCTGTTTCATAACATATTGTATATTTAAGCTCAATTTAAACAGAATAAACGTACCACACATTAGTCTCATTAAGTTAAGACAGGCAGAAACCAAGATTTTGGTCCCAGTAATCATTTTTTTAGATTTTAGGATCATTTATATCTATAACATGTCTTTTCTTAAACTCTAATCACAAAAATGTCAAAACTGAACAGAAGTATATTTATTATTTCAGCATCCTTGAACTATTTGCATGCACTAATGTCTTTTAGCTCCACCACACTTGGCAAAACCTTGTCATGTATCACTGAAAGAATCTAAGATGAATATCTAATACATCCATTTCCATTATACTAATAACATCAAAAAATGGTATGTTTTCTGAGCTCTCACTGGGTAATGCAGATCTAAAGCCCATTTTGAAAATAGTTTCTCAAAATCTACTTACAAAATCAAAAGCCTGCATTTCTATAATCCCTGCGTTCATGAAATTTTACATGTTCATTTCTAATCTTATTCTGAAGGATGTTACAGAAGGATTTCATAACAAACTGCCAATAGCTAATTTGAGTACCACAAAATGACCTGCAAAATGCAAAAATGCACAACAGTGCAAGTGTTTCCTTGATCAAACAACAATACATTTCAATAATCTGTTCTGCAATCCTTTCTGTGAAGTGTCTGCATAATGAAATAAACAATTAAACTCTAACATCATCCAAAGGCTAGAAACGTGATTTAAAAAATGTAAATGTATGGATATTTGACTACATGGCATTTCATTTGCATATCCTTTTATTTAAATGCAAAAAAAAAATACTCTATTCACCTGTAGAGTCTCATTGTGAGTATTTTGTAAACATTTGTTAATGAAATTTCTACCCAAAAAGTAATAATGACATTATAGATTAAACAAGCAAATATAACTGTAAGTGAGTTATATAATACAGCTAAATATTACTGTTATTTGTCTCAGATATAAATGTGAAAAGAAATGCTAGTGTACACATAACTGCAACACAAACACTCAAAGACACAAACACATTACCTTCCTGTGAGATAACAGAACCAGCACACTGGAGAAGGACATCAAAACCAACATCATAAAGTTGGTGCTAATATCAACTACAGAGAAATGGAAAACATGACACAAACTTAAAAAAACAAGTAAATGCTGCCACACATATTAAGAATACTTTAAACAATAACTTTTTAACAATAAGAAAATGTTCTGCCAATTTTAGATATTGCCCAGGCCTAGTTCATCGTCTCATGGTGCTACTGGATGTTGTACCAAAATTGAGACCACTTTGTTTTACTTATTTGTCTCATCTTTACTGAATATGTGACTGCAGTTTCATAAGAACATGAAATATTGAAACCACTTTGCTTCGAGAATTTAAAACACTACAAAAGAAAAACAATTTCTGACAACATATATCTGTACTATTAATTCCCTTGTTTTTAATCAGGAACTAACTACATTTAAAATAAAACAAGGTAAAGAAATATATTGTCTTCATAATTATCACAAATTTCTACAGTTGTTCCAAACTCTCCCCTCTTCAGGAAGATTGAGAAAAGCTGCTGCCAAATGGCCATTTTAGCCTGCAACAATATGTGGGACATTGAAGAGGAAAAAACAAAATAATTGCTGCACTACTGTATGTAGTAGATGTTCAGTTTAATTTAACCCTATTAAGTAGTATAGACAGACAGTACAGCAGTAAAGACTGTAGTATAAGTACCAGACGCTTTCAGGAGTGATGGGAGAAGTGACAGGTAAGCACATATAATAGTGATAAAGTTTTGATATAGCTGACATCTGTTTGATAATGATGTATTATAACATAACACTCACAGGCACGATAGCCATTGGCGAGTTTCATGTCAGTGTAAGAGATGGTGAGCGGGTCAGTCTTCCGGATTATGCCAACAGTCAGATCCGTGGCCACCAGCAGATTATACACCTAGATAACACCCAGACACACAACACATAGAGCAAGCATGAAACAGAGACTGAGTGAAGAAATTTATAAGAGTAAAGGTCTGTGTCTCTGAGTGTGTGTACTCTGGCAGCAGGTGTGTTTTGATTCCTCGCTGTAGGCCAATACCAACAGAACTAGGTATACAGCGGTAGAACAGCGATTCATTCAGAAATGCCTGTAAAAGTGTAAATTACATAACTCACATACACTCACGCACACATACACACACACACACACAGTGCCTTCCCTTGGGTAGTTTTCTGAAGGTATTTTAAGTGAGATTGTGTTTCCTGTGAGGCTGTTGACCCAGACATGTATTAGTGTGGGAGAGAAACTTTCTTATTATCTTGAAAATAATGTTCCGATTTAATATATTTCAATATATATCCAGTAAAGAAATTAACAAATTGCTTTTTTGTGTACTTTAGTTGATAGCTTCAATGTTATCAATGAATCTTTATTAACAAGTTGACCTCCGAAGGAAAAGAAATAAAAATCAAACTCCCCTTACGTCTCTAACATACATTACTATTTCACTGTCCTTCAAATAGAATAATCTCTAGAACAGAAGAAAATACCACACAATAAACCTCCCTAGCACTGCACAGTGGAGCAGTGGAATGATGTTCTCCTGAGTGATGGATCTAATACATTTGTGATCCAGAACTAATCATTCAACATCTGTATCTGACCTTACTAATGTTCTTACAGCTGAATGCAATGAAATCTTCAAAGCAACGTTCCAACTTCTAGTGTGAAGCCTTCCCAGAAGACTATAGGCTGTTACTGCAGTAGAGAGGGAAAAACTGCTATTTATTACCCTATCAGAATATCAGAAGAAACACTGGCATTTTATTTTTCCAATAAAAAATGGTGTTAATCAAATATAGCATTTATATTTCTTATATGTGTAAAGATCACTGCTAACAACTTATATCTGGGGAAAAAAATCATGCACGTGGTCTTTCATGTGTTTTAGAACAAAATCCTTCATGTCCATATATGGGACATGATATTTATGCAATAAAGATTCTTGTCAGACCAAGGCTTCAAAAAATGTCAATGCAATGGCTAATTTCCTAGAAATTCTCCATCCCTTTTCTCTCTATTTATTTCTTCATATCCTGAAAATGCACACATCGGAATTTTGTTGTTTCTGTTCCTGAAAATAATGCGAATCAAAGCAGACAGTTGTCACTCAGCGCATGAGTACGTGTCTCTCATTCTACAGGAGTCTGGCTTCCTGTCACTCGACCCAGCTCTCTACTGCAGTTATCACTCAGTCAGCGCACTGGTCAAGCTGACTCCAGCGTCTCTGCAGCCTTAGTTCTGTCTACCAGCCTCAACACTAACAACTCACTCTGGCTTCCTCTTTAATGCTGCACAAACTAAGCTGAACTGATCCTGGTACAGCAGAAACGATCAGTGTATAAAATCAGGAAGGGCCAATATGTTCTTGTTCAGTAACATGCAGACCAGTAAAGTCACACACTCTTAAACACTAGCGTAAATTTACTTGTAATTTGTCACTGTAACTTATAAAGGCCCATATGCATACTAATACATGTGCTTGATCCTGATACCAAATATTTTATCATTTATATATATATATATATATATATATATATACATATGACTGTGTGTACATATGAAGTCAAACATTACCAGGTAGAAGATGGCAGAGACCCGCGTGGCCGTGTGGACATGGCAGCAGAGCGACTGTGTTCCAGACATTTCTTTGTCTTCTTCGCTTACAAACGGCATCTGAAATTCACACACTGAGACACAGCCTTACTAACCACACTAACACTTCCTGATGCCGACACTTGCATGCGCAGTGATCAGATAATCACACAGGTTCACACATACATCATGTGTGGTGCACTGAGCTTCCTGTGACCAATTTTGCAAATGCATCACAGTATCATGGACAGCTCAATCATCTGAGAACCCGAGGACACACTTATAGTCTTATCGCATTTTCTGTGTTGTAGTGCAGAGAAAAAAAACTTAAGTTTGCTACAATTAAGACAAGACTTTGAGTCCCAGTCTTGTTAACAACTCAACTTTAACATTTTTTCATTTTCAGTTTCATTTCCACACCTATATTAATTACCTCAAAATACTTACTGAGCAAACTTAATTCACAAAAAAGCTTTGAAGTCAAATAGGAAATTCATGAGAACAATACAGTAAATAAATTAATTTAAATCAACTGTACTACTTGGGTTACAATAAATCTTTCAACATGAATTAGTTAATTCAGCTAATTCATAAGTACACACACAAGAACTTTGTTCCAACAGTATTTTTTTTGCTGAAAATGAAATAACAATGGCAATACAGAACATGGTAGGTTTATGGGTCTGCAACCCAGATTTCTGGGAACATGAGAGGTATTTAAAAGGGAAATTCCACTGAAGTTGTTGTATTATTAAACCATTAAGAAGTAAACCAAGTCATTCAGAGAGGTTCAATCCGAAGCGACCAGTTCTAGAGAAATTTGCCAATTCAGAATTGTTCACAGCAGTAGTGATAGGGGCGAGGTATTCAAAGCATTTTTCTTAAAGCTCCCACAGAAAGCCGTTACATTTAATGGTTGCTGATATGTTACCTGTTATAATATGTTACAGAAGTTTTCAAATACATATATGGGGTAAAATACATTTTTAAAGTTCATTTATGCCAGAGATTCACATGCAAAGTGTTCCCAGACATAACATTTTTATCACTCTGTTACCACCATCAATATTGCATATAAAACCTTGGAAGACGCATGTAGGTCCACTGGTCGTTTTGGATAGTAAACAAAGTGGCTTTATTTGCGGTATGGACATTGTGAGCCCTGGTTCCTATCACCACCACTGTAAACCATTTCACATCAATGCACTTTGAATGCATTTGCTTACTAAACAACTAAATTACACAGAAATTTAGAAAAATCGGTGGAACTCCCCTTCAATGTGAAATAAGACCAAGAAAGATCACTCGCACATTTTTTTTATTGAAAGAAACAACCTGGTGAAACAGAGCCCTCTAGTGGCAAGATGATACTCAAGGCACTTATTTTAAACAGCATTTTAAATATTACCTGAACCCATTATAAAGTCTGTAAAGGTTTTGTGTGAAAAATGTGTAGTTTGAGCCTTATGTACATCCTCAGCTGGCCCATCAGTGGCTATGGACACACACAACATGCGTATACATAAAAAACAAACAAACCAAAAAAAACACACACACACACACACACAAAACAGATGCCAAACTGAAAGGCAAAAGGCACTTTAATAAAGCCTGCAGTCAACAATCAAAAAACAGCAAAGAAGCACACACAAAACACACAAAAAAACAAACTGCAGACTCTAGAGCTTCATTCTCAGTGCTGATGGCCCTGAAACACAGAACAGGAAGTTATTTGACACAGGAACACATTTATCTCACACCCTCCCACATGCAACCGCAACTTTATTTCTTAAATAAGCTGAACTCCCTCTCTCTCTCTCTCTCTCTCTAAGCCTCAAACTTGTAAGATTCAGTTGATCAGTTAAATTCTGCGGACGAGCAGCTAATTCACAATGCAGTCTAAAGTAAAGAGATGCCCGTTTATCTACACAACCAAATATTTACAGTTAGTGTTGTAATGCTGCCTTATGTCTAACAGTGCACCTTTCTGAAAAATATCCCCATCTTGAGGGTCATCTGAGCCAAATCAAATCCATTCTTTGGGTTAAAACATTGTAAGAAATGCTAACATATGGAAACAATTTCAGAGTGTTTGTGTTCAGAAATGGAGTTTTTCCTGGACACACGACCAAAATACAGCACAATCTTAAAAAAAACAAAACAACAACAACAACAAATCTTGACATGTGGCAACTCTGGCTCTCTGAAAGCAGCTATGTACTAAAAATAATATTTTAAAACAGTTGTATGAAGAACTGCGTAGACTACAAAAAAAGCCTTTCAGAGAGCAGTTATAAACTGTATTAATTGTTCTGACAGGTAGACCAGCCACACACACACACACACACACACACACACACACACAGGATACCTGTTCATGTCAGAAATGAATAGGTGAAAAGTCACAGTGGAAGACAGTCTCTGCCTCGCTGACTGTGGCTGGCTGGCCCTGTCCAGCATCTTCTAACTCTGTTTTGACACTGGGCATGAGGGGGTCGGGGGTAGCAGGTTTGGACAGGCTGGGGCATGATGCTCTTTGCGGGGTGATGTAATGATGGGGTGGGAGCAGTGGAGGATAGTGGCTTTCACAACTTTGAGATGCAAACTGGGGCCTCAGGACTGCATGTGGAACATGACCTGTGTGACCATACACATCACTGGCCCACGGGTAGGCCTGCAATGCTATACACACGCACACAAATAATACAGTTCAGAAAAATACCTTCCACAAGTGCGTCTACACACATGCAGTACTGTGTATCTTTATTTTATTTCTAGTAAAAGCCTTTAAGTTAATCATTCTTCAAGAGCGGTTATGTGAGATTAGATATAAAGATAATCCACATGCAAAAGGAAGGAGAAAGTCAAAGAAAATAACAAAAACAAAAGTTGCCAAAACTGGACTTAATAAAATTACTAAAAGATCTAGAGAAAATGGGACTCCTACCAACCACACACACACACACACACACACACGCTCCACTCTTGCTAAAAATTGCAAATGAAGAAAATTTCCCTGCAGATTTCTTTGAAGAAAACTGCAAGCAAGAAGCTAAAAAGAATGGAAGCTGTAATAAAGACAAAGGGTGAACATGGTAAATATTTTATATTGGATTGAAAAATAAATAACTAAATGGCTGTTTTGAAGGGTGGGCTCCGACTTTTACACATTACATAAGTTCTGCTCACACCTTCAACTCTACATATTGTAAAAAACAAACTTTACAACTGTTCACAACTTCTTTGTAAATTATTTTGCGTATTTTATATACTGGAATTTTTGCTGACACCTCCATCTCCCACACAGACACACACAGACACACACAGACCTTACCCTGCACCCCAGGCTGTAGTAGTATCTGGTTGCCATTTTGGCACTTAAAGTAGGCATGTCCTCCATTAGCGCATGTCAGCAGGCTGCTGGTGGTGCCTGGGTTCAGGGGCAGGCAGGATGAGGTGGTGCCCTCACTGGGGTTGGGGGTCAGGTAAGGAGAGGGGGTGAGGTAAGACAGATGGGAGTACTGTGGCAGGAGTGTGCTGGGCTGAGTGTGTGGGATATTATTGCCCTGTTGAGCCAGAAGACTGTTAGGTTGCTGGGGAAATAAAGCACTGGGCTGCTGGGGATACGTGCTGATCTGGTAAGCCTGTGCACGGTTACCAGGACCAGAGATCACAGACTCAAGTTTAGCTGAACAGCCAATTCCATCGTAGTCAAACCTGCAACACATCAGAGTTTTCGGGAAGTAGCATTCAGAGAAAAATATTGCAACACATCAGAGAATTGGAGAAGTAACATTTAGAGGAAATTACAGCTATGGCTGAAGTAAGATCATCCTATAATCTCAATCAAGCCACTTTTGATTACAGCATCATTCAAACTTTGGAATAAATTCAATAATGACTAGTGCAATAATGACTAATGTCTAGATTGAAATGCACTAGACAATGGAAAGTATGTTATTTTCAAGTTTTTGAAGACTTGAAAAAAGTTTAAAAAAATAAGTTTTTTTTTTTTAAATAAATGATCATTATCATTATCTATTTATAGTAATTTCTGGGCAAATTATCTGTTTGATTACCACTTTTCAAACACAAAGCAATGTGCAGTTTTTCCAATTTCTCACGAAACAAAACTAAAAACAGTGCTTCCAAACTTTCATACAAAAGCATCTGGGTAGCACAAGCTTAAAAGCTCCACCACTGGTGATTTCATCTCACAATAATGTCCACAAACCAATAAAGGATATATGGCACCCACTAGTGGTGTGGGAGGGTAGTGCAAGTGTTGATGCTGATGCTTACCCAGTTTCGGTGTGCAGACTGAGGGGCTGAGGCTCGTTGTGCTCTGGTGTGTCCAGCAGCACAGACAACGTGTGCGTGGGTGGGTTATATGCAGCAAAGAAGGGCAAAGAGGCACGGCGCAGAGGTGGGGGGCTCTGCATGAGGGGGAGTTTGTAGTTAACAGGGCCACCCTGAGAGATGCACACATTACCTCCGTCCACACAGCTTGGATCTTCATTCACACCCACACAGGCAATGAAAATATGAATAAACAATAAAGCCAGAGAAAAATCAGTAAAAAAGCACAAACATATCAGATCAATCAATCAATCAATCAATCAAAAATCAAATCAATATCAAACCAAAATTGGGTCCATAAAGAACGTGTGGTGAGCTAATTAAGACAAATTAGAGATCAAATGAAGTTTCAGGGACAGAGAGATAAAGGGACAGAGACCTGGTGGGCTTGTACAGCTGGTGAAGAGGGCACTGTAAGAAGGGAGTGCATTTCCAGTTTGTGAAGGTATGGGTGCAATTGTACGAGCTGTGAAAACAGGAGCCCTACACACAAGCAGGAGTAAACACATACATATACACACACAGCAAGTACTCAAAATGTGTTATCCAGCATCAGTGTTTTAAATGAGGAACCTGTGGACAGGGGCAGGTGCTCGGGCCAGAGCAGGTGCTGGAGCCCGGCTCACTGGAGGCTTCTTCACCGTAGTTTTGGAAGTTTTACGCCACTTAGCGCGACGATTCTGAAACCACACCTGAGAAAGAAAAGAGGAAGAGTGACCCATCCAGCTAAATTTCCAGCAGGAGTCATAAAGTTTTTAAAAAAAAAAGCAGGAGAAGAAAAAAAAAAAGATTTCTTTTTAGAATCTGACCATGACTCTTTGGGGTGTAACACCAACTGACATTGCGATCTCTTTTCGCTTCTCTGCATCTGGATAATGATCATCTCGAAAGACCCTCTCCAGCTCCTCCAACTGATCTACACATACAAGCACACAGTTCATACTGCGTGAATAACAAGTAATCCAAATAAATATACATGGAGTTGCTACTTAATTAAATAAACCTAATTTGTACATACACTGATTTGACATTTTGTCAAGTCATCTGACATATGTACATTTTCTAGGTTTATACTTACAGGCTGTAGTGAACCTGATTAAATTACCAGTGACTGTAGGTATGAGGTCAGTGTACATAAACTGGCCACTCAGTGTATATTACATAAGAACTCACTCACCAGAACTGTAGGAGGTGCGCGTTTTCTTCTTCGGTGCGGGTGGAAGTAGAGAGGTGCTGGTGATGTAAGGTAAAGGCTGTGAGCTGGTGTCAGGGCAGACCGATGGTAAGGGCAGCAGTGGCGTTGGCCTGCTGGTGAAGCGGGTGTAGCGGCGTGTGGTGTACACCTGCCTGAGCGTCACCTCCAGCTGCCCTGGAGGAACAAGGGTTTTGGGCTCCGCAGACGGGCTATTATTACGGTTCCCCAGACAAGGAGCTTCTGGTCCTGGCATTTGGGCTGGGGCTTGGGTCTGTTGTGTCTGAGCCGTTGGCTGGGTTTGATGGGGGAGCAGAGGGTGGTTGGAGGAGGGTACAATGAGAGGCAGGGGGTTAACTGAGGAAGGTGGGGAGAGCGAGGGAAGCTGGGGGAGTGTTAGGGACTTGGAAGGGCACAGCATGAGCTCCTCACTTACACATCTCTCAACAGACTCCTCACACACCATCACCAGGTTTACGGGACAGCCAGAGTCCAGCGGCAGTGCACTCCTGCCATCCAAGGGTGGGCTCGCTTCGGTGTCTTTTCCACTGTCACTCTTGTCCTCTTTCACCTTCAATTTTTCTGCTATACTCTCTTCATCGGTCTTCTCCTCCTCACCAAGTTCATATTCATCATCTGTCTTACCACCTACTTTCAATTCTTGCTTTTCTTCCACTACCTCCTCCTTTTCTTTTCCCTTTTCACCTATAGATTTATCTCCTTTAATCTTCTCTCTTTTTAACTCTGCTTCTTCTCTTTCTTTGTCCACTTTTCTCTGTCTTTCACTGACTCTGAGCCCCAGGTAAGGCCTCTCGCCTTCCTCCTCACACAAAGGGCACGGGCCGTCTGTAAATGAGTGACAGTCACTGCTAAGCTAAGTTGTGATACGGCCCACATATTAAGCTTTAAAACAGCCGATACCGAAGACTGAATTTAGAAGCCACGGAAATAATTTAAGACACTGGTTAAATGCTTGGTCTTTTCGTCATTCTTGCTACAGTTAATTTCCCACAAAACATTGTATCAAGGTGCGGCCTACTCCAGCTGCTGGGTGTAATTATAAGGTTGGACTTTTTTAAAAACCTATGACCTTATTATTAGAAGTAGCGGTATTATTTTTTATAACTAAAAGTTAAAAAAATCTGTTTTAGACATTTCATTAAAGGTTTAAACTCAATGTGACTATGTGATAAAACATTCAGTTCCCACCGGAAGCCTTAACGAAACTACCTAAACGTCTACTGCCCAAACTAACTACATAGCAACTACTCTCAATTTACCTCTAATGAAACAATTATTTGTTAAAAATAATTTAGTCAGGTAATTTAGGTTCATTTACGCACCGTAATCACTAGCAAACAGTGAGTCCTCAGTCATCTCGTCGCTCAAAAAGGCCTCTAACTCTAACTAGCAATCTCAATTACCTCAGAGCTAAGAGCGCGAGCTAAACGCCACCGTTGCTCCTAAATCAGATGATTGGTGATCATTTTTAATTGACCGCCAACAGCCGGAGAAGCTCTGTCACGTGACGAGAGAATGACCTGCGCGCGCGTTACCGGTGTGTTCATCACGAAGCAGCTCGTGCTGAGTGAGCTGAGGTAGTCAGTCGCTCCCCTCACTTCTCGGGGAGGAAAATACCTGCGTTATCGTACTTCGTTATTTTACTGAAGTATTATTTTTGGGAGATTTGTACTATATTTAAGTATTATATTAAATACCTGTACTCTTATTTGTTTACATTAGCAAGAGGATAAAACATACTTCATTTCGTTTAGACATTCAAAATACTCGTATGAAATCTCAAAGGCTAGAGTTTTTTCCTCCTACCAATCAGTTTACTTCCAGGGAATTTAGGTATTAAGTGTTAATTATTAAAACTTTTAAACAAATTCAACACAATGTAAGATGAAACTGCCCAAACCTGTGCTAAGATGTCTTTGTGTGAGGACTAGTACTGCCCAGTACCACACCATGCCACACAGGAAGGAAACGTAAGTACAGTCTTGGCCCCATACATCCATTTTTAATTAAGTAAGATTTTGAAAAATACTCATACTTTCACTTAAAGGGCCCATGTCATACATTTTTCTAGTATTTTCTTTATTTTTTTCCCCAAGGTTCTTGTATGGCATTTGTGTTTTATGGTGTTTTATGGTCTTATGTGCCAAAACCAGCTATAATTCATTTTTCTATGACAATTTTCCAACCACTCTTTATCCCTCAGAATTAAACTGGCTGTTTTTTAACTCTACCTTTAAGACTGATATATATAAATTGTCTTTATTCTGATTGACTGCACTGTATTGTACTTCATACAAAAGGCAGCCCAGTACAAGGCCCTGCAGGTGACAACCTGTGTAGATAAAAATAATGCCTGGCCACAACGTATTAGCATGTAGGAACGAGATCCTAATGCGTGGTTAGGTGTAGGAACGAGATCATGCCTTATTAAGCTGTGGTCAGGGCTTAATTATCTCCTTCCCTTGCCTTACTTACCACGCATTAATATCTCATTCCCATGCCTTAGTAAGGCGTGGCCATAACTTAATTATCTTGTTTCACGCCTTACTAAGTAGTGGCCATGCATTAACTATATTTATACAGGATGTCACTAGCAGGGCTCTGTAGCCCAGCCTAAAACACTTGTCATAACGTCAGTGTTAATGGGCAGAGCTAAACAGCTGTATGCTGAATGTATGTAAATATGTTGTTTTTTGTGACATCATGAGTGTATGGACTGGAGAGTGAACTGTATGTCTTATAACTTTAACAGTGTTTACATACATCAAACTGTTTATATAAAAAATAAAATGAAGGAAAATACGGTTCACCATGATATGTGCCCTTTAACCTCTGCATGTTCTATGTTTCTGTTTACAGTTTAGCAGTAAGTAACGGATTGAACTCAACTGTCTACAACAGTGGTCTCCAACCCTCGTTTTAAGTAAGGGGTGTGGCAGCTTATTGGATACAGATTAGAACTAAACTCTGCAGGAAGGTAGCTCTCTAGGACCAGGGTTGGAGACCTCCAGATTACATCATGCTGTAACAACTAGAAACTACCAATCCAAGTGGAAAGTATTGGCAGCGACTAATAATTGATCTTATGCTTTTTATACATGACTTACTGACTTAACATTCAAGTTGTTGCTTATTTTAGAAAACATGGTAACATGGAACCTACACATACTTAAAGAGTAATTTCTGTACACTGCTTTATGTAACAAACATGATCAGGCTTTGGACTCCTGATGAAGTGAATACTGATTACTTTATAATTAGATATTGCTGTAGGCCTTACGTTGTGCTGTGCGCCTACTATTTTCAAAATTCAGGGATAGCTGTGTGCATTCAGTGATTCCACAGGGAAATCCCTAGGACACATTGCTTTTAGTATAAACACACTTCACACAGCCCATTTCAGGCCTCAATAAATAGAGCGCAGATATTTACATCTACATGGGTATATTTCACATTAATTACATAAATGAGTAGTATATGTGGCCTACTGAACTGACTTTTATAAAACCATGAGGCAGTAAGAACACGAGAGATAATCAAGTACCCAATAAGGTCTTTTATTTAGAACAGAGTGGCATATTAGTGACAGAACTTCGCCTCCTTATACACAAACCAACCAATGAGAAAAAGAAAAATCAGCTCTTAAAAAATGGACATGTATAAAACACAATGGGCAACCATCACATCAAGACCATGCTGGTCTGGGTGCAGGAAGGCCCGCCTCTTCATTTGGCCATGGGCAGAAAGAGTGACAGGTTACAGGTAGATGAGTAGAAAAAACAGCAATCGAACAAGTTCCACTGAGACAAATCTATTCACTTTAACACACAGTGACCGCCAGACATTCCCAAGTGAACAGGTGTGTTGGAGAGCATGTGGGTGTGTACTTGTGATGGTAGCAGTTCTACGTAGGTCAGCCAGGTGGAGTACTTTTTATTTTTGTGGATGGTATTCCAAAAAAATTCCAAACATCATTATACCAACAGTTGTAAGTTGTAATTGCTGTAGTAAATGTACTGATTCTAAAAGGTATTTTAGAGTTATGATGACTGTCATAGACTGTGTGTAGCTGTACGTGACAATACATTAGTGTAGTGAATCACAGGCATAAGATGTTATCAGTCTGGTCCCAAGCCCCAGTTGCAAGGCGCATGTTGTGACCAGTGTTGTTTACAATGAGGACTGTGTGTATGTGGGAATCTGCACATTTTACACTAACAAGGGTGAAAGTGTTTATGTTTGGGGGGGTGATCTGGGCATTATTTCATGAAGTGAGATATCACAGTTAGTTAAAATATTTAAGCCAAACGTTAAAGGGGCATTATGGCCTAAAACTGTAAAATATTAGTTGTATCCTTTGAGAATTATGAGATTTTAAGGTATTTAAACCTTAAACTCTTACTCTCAAGATTATTGTGGCACTGATGAAGGAGGTGAGTAGACATGCTTTGGGTACATTTTTCATTTTGACCAAAGTTACCCTTTAAGCAGAGAAGTGAGGGACATTTATCTTGGCCAGTCTTGTTATCTGGCTTAAGTTATCCAGCTAACTGAAGAAATCCTGCTCCATAAATAAGCTCACTCATGATGGAAGAAACGCTGGAAAGGGAAAAAAACATCTGTCAGATACATTCCAGCCAGCGTATGGGCACACATGCACACACAGGCATGACAAGATCATACAGGTTAGAGCATAATATTCAAGCTACAGGTGCAGATGCACTGGACTGATATTACAATCTTAGATAGTTGTACAACCTACAACCCCATGGCAAGATTTCCCCACATCTTTTGAATGCAGCCTCCAATGTGGGACCTGCACACATTGTCTATCGGCAAGTATTGCAGCGCCTTCATAATAAACAAATGGGCTGTATTATGAAATGTGGTTCAATGCAGTCTGTTAGCATTATAGCCCCTTGAACCCTCCAATCATAGTGATATGTTTTCAATTAATGACTTTATCAGTGGTCTGCTACGATGGGCAGTGAGGGACCTACAATAGGCCACGTCGCAGTGCTCTAATGTTTGTGCTGTGGCACACAGACCCACTCCAAACCCTTCCCTCTGCTATGACACATGAAATGATATGTGATCATATTGGTAACGCCAATCAGCCTCTCACTACAGAGTTTGTCAAGGTTACAAAGGCCAGGCAGTGGCATTGCATCTCATCTGCATGAGAGCACGTGGTACATTCTCCCTCACCAGCACTTGAGGGTGACAGCATATGAGTGTATTGATGTTAAATAGCTGCATTATTGCTACATCATGCACTCTTAGCTAACTCTAACTGTGCAGCCATTTATATTTTAGTGACCTTGGTGTACAGCACTTGAACACAATGGAACATAATCGAAAGCAGCCCTCTTCTGACCCTCTCTGGAATTTCACAATTATAATAATAAGTCCTACATTATAGAATGCCTTAAGCAGATGTGTCCCATTATGAAAACACAATATTCCTCATGAACCATCAGTCTTTTGCCTTTTACTTTAATCTTGACCCAAAATCCAATTCCTACCTACTGATTTTCTACCATATCTCCTAACCCTTCTCTGAATTCAGCCTATTCAGCGTAGAGTGTGTTATGTGTATAAATGTGGTTGTGTGAGAGTGCCAATATGCAAGTGAGACACAGTCTTGTGAGCTTGTGCTTTTTTTTTTTTTTACACAAAGGCCAGAAACCTGATCAAAGATCAATAAAATACTGAAAACATGGAAAATATTTTTCTTTCCTTTTTTTGGCTGAAGTGATGGAAAAGAAGGTGTTAAATTAAAAAAATCCTCTTTAGATTCCTGTAACATTGCGTTTTTGATATTTTTTTAAGTGATATGTGTGTGTGCAAAGACGTTTATTAAGTAAAAGACATCATTAAAAGCATGATAAATCGAAATTAAAAAAGGAGTTGATATTTACACCAATAAAACTTTTACTGCACAGCTAAATAGATAATATCCTTCACTACTAATATTATTATCTTCTTTTACCTTCCATTCAGAGCTGCTGATATATTATTGATTATTATTACTATTGATAACTAATTGTCTTTGTACAGAACAGAGGAGGGGCTAATCCTCTGATTCTTTTGCATGCACTCCCTCACAGCAAATGTTTCCTCACCGTTTTATGTGCTGTGTTAAACGTACAGATTTTTTTCCAGGCTCCCTGCTCCAAACAAATAGTACTACAGTCATTGAGGCTGGCCTTGCTGACAGACACTCTCGCCAGCAGAGGGAGTCAGACTGTGCGCATACGTGTGTGTGTATGGGGCTGTGCGGCTGGGCTAAGGTCACAGATGGCAGCGCTGTCAGGCCGCACAGTCCCATACACAAAACAAGCACACAAACCCACCGTTCTCTGCTCAAGCTCAGCTTCTAGCACCAGGGAAATGGAAGGCACCGCACAACATTTGACCTTTAGCCTTTGTGACAGAAGTGCGATCTGTTCGGAGTAGCGTGGTCTCGGCATTCCTCCTCCACTCCTCTATCCTTTTGCTCCCTCCCTCTCGGCCCTCTCTGTCCCTCCATGACCCTCTCTGTCTTTTTACTTTCCTTCCTTGCTCCCTCTTTCCTGCTTCTCGACTCCCATGTTCAGCTGGAGAGGAATATTGTGCAGTTGAAGAGCATGTGTGTCTTTACAAAAAAGTTTCATGTTATAATTTTATAGAACAACAATCCTAATCATATCAATAGTTTAAAAAAGTTGTCTTTTTTTCCTTTTCTTCATATGTGTGAAACCCCTACCCTTCCCTAGCCCAATCCCCAAAATCCTCACCGCAGCCACTTCCTTTTTTTCTTTATCTTTTTAATCCATTCAAAAGAAAGTCCCAAGTCCGTAGAGTGAGAGGCACTCTCATGGAGAAAAAGAGGGAGTCAGGAGAGAAAGAGAGTGAGATGAAGGGAGGGAGGAAAGGAGGGCAAGAGGAAGAGGAGACTAGAAGGATCGAGGGATGCAAGAAGGAGAGTGTGTGGTTTCTAGGCGTAGAATTCCTCCTGCTTGTCTGGTTTCTGATAGGTGACTGTGGCTTGTTTGGGCTCCTCCAGAGTGTAGCTGCCTTCATCCTTCTTCTTCATCCGGTAAACAAGTAACATGACCAGGAATGCGGCGAAGAGCGCACCAACGACACCTCCAACAATCACCGCTAGGTAGACAGAGAGAGGTACTTGTTATTAGAGCACAGACACAGGTTTAGAGATGGGTAGAGTACACTGTAAAAAATGGTAAAATGTACAACAGCAGAGGTTAAACCTGTTAATTAACAGTAAAAGTATGTCTTCTCAGTGATGGTAAAAATCTGTAAAATTACAGTCATTTAATTTGTTAGAAATACTGCCTTTTACTGTAATTCAATAGTTCAACTAGTAATTCTGACATACAGGATTTTAGCATAATAATAACAGTAACAACTATTAAACGCAAATGTCTAATAAAGGTGAGCATTTGTTTTGGTGAATTAATGTTTTATTTCTGTAAATTAACAGCAGCATTGTTAAAATAAGTATGTATATGTATGTATTTTTTTTTTTTTTTACAGTGTAGCCTAAACCCTAGCTCAGGTGAGAGTATTGTTTGTTAAAATAATGGCACAAGTAGAAGTAAAAGTAACCTGGGAAAAAAGTGCCAGGTCCAAAAAACTCAAGTTATAAGTAGGCTTGTCACATTTATTACATAATCACCTTAGTAGTTATTTAAGCTGACATAATCACTTTAGCACAGTTATTGAAGCTTTTGAACAGTTGTTAGCTTTCACAATCATGTCACAGCCAACAGAATATGTGCGCTTTTATCCATTGAGTTGAGGCAAATAGCAGAAAGCGTGTTTATTGAGACGTTGTGGGTCTTACGAAAACAACAAAAATTCAAACTTTTGACTAGGCGCAATAACACCTTTAGAGGGCAGCAATGAGTGGCGATGTTTACTTAAGCATTAGCTGCATTTGTCACATCTTGGAAGCTAGGAATCAAGACAATTTGTCACATGTAAATGTTCTAGATCATCCAACTAATTTTAATATATGATAAAGACAATATGAGTAAACACAGAATGCAGCTTTTAAATGATCATTCAATTTATTGAAGATAAATATTTATTTAAAAACCTATTTAAGGCATTTGAAAAAGTTGCCCCCAAACCTAATCTGATTTCAGTTGTTACTACGAGCATGAACTGCCCATTTAAGGTCGTCCAGGTCCTGCAGAGACAAAGCATCCACAGACCATCACACTACCACCACCATGTTTGACTGTTGTTATGATACTCTTAAGGCGGAATGTGGTGTTAGTTTTACACCAGATGGAACGGGACCCATGTCTTACAAAAAGTTCCACCTTCGACTCATCAGTCCACAGAATATTATCCCAAAATTATTGGGGGTCATCTAGATGGTTTTTGGCAAATGCGAGACAAGCTTTTGTGTTCTTTTTGGTCAGCAGTGGTTTACGCCTTGCGATTCTCCCATGGATGCCACTTTTGCCCAGTGTCTTTCTATATTGACCTTAACTGAGGTGAATCAGGCCTGCAGTTGTTTAGATGTTCGCCTGGGTTCTTTTGGGACCTCCTAGATGAGTCGTCAAAGTGCTCTTGGTGAAATTCTGGTAGACCAGCCACTTCTGGGAAGATCCACCACTGTTCCAAGTTTTATCCTTTTGTGTATAATGGCTCCCACTGTGGTTCGCTGGAGTCCCTGAGCCTTAACAAGGCTTTGTAACCCTTTACAAACTGGTAGATTTCTTTGTTTCACAGGTCTGGCTGTTACTTTGTTTTGCATTTGTATTTGAATCTCTTTAGAGCGTGGCAAAATGTGCTGCTTTTTGAGATCGTCTAGCCTGCTTCACATTGCCAGACATGTTCTATTTAAGTGATGTTTAGAGTGAACAGGTCTGGCAGTAATCATGTCTGGGTGTGTGGCTCATGAAATTAAACCCAATAGTCAATTGAATTTGCTTAACTGGCTGATTTAGTTGCTATGGGGGCAATTACTTTTTCACATAGGACAAGGTAGGGCTGAATAGCATTTTTCCTTCAATAAATGGTCATCATTTAAAATGGCATTTTGTATTTACTCAGGTTATCAGTGTCTAATATTAAAAGTAGTCTGATGATCTGAAACATTTAAGTGTGACAAACATGCAAAAATATAAGAAAGTGGGAAGGGGCAAATACTTTTTCTCAGCACTGTAGCTAATCAGACAATTTGGCACCTTAGGCTTACACTTTAATAGCTGCATAGAATGAACAAAACTTAACGAACTGTTAATTGCAGTTATTTATATGGCACTTAATCGTTAGCTAAAATGTCATGATGGTGACAGGCCTAGTACTGATTTGTTTATAGAACTACAATGGAATTTCTTAGTACATCCAGCATCTATCAGCACAGGAAGAGAAGTTTGCTAAGTGCTACTCTTCTCTTTTTGGGTTCCTTTTTTTTCAAGAATGCTAAAACTGGAAGATGAGAGGTGTGAGCATCAGCAAAGCAGTGCAGATTCAGAAACAACAGCCCAGAAGGAAATTAAACCCAAAAAAGGAACTAAATGTGAATGGCTTGTATAAATATACATGAGTATATGTATTATCATCTGAAAATACAAATGTGCAAATGCATCAGAATTTCACTTAAATGCATGTAAATAAATGTAACTAGTGCACTACCCACCTCTTCACAGGTTACACTGTCATTCTGCACACCTAATATAACACACGCTCTTTCTCTCTCTTTTTCCTCACCGTAAATGAATGTACAAGCGTTTCTTCTGTATAGATCTACTGATTTAGGTAATTAACACATAATATTAAGTATTATTTCATTTAAATTAGAATATATATTACAAAACATACACAAATAAAGGAATGAGAGAAAGAAAAAGGTGAACAAGCACAAATTCACACATACACTTAAACAAAAGCAGACAGGAGAGGTTTAGAGGTTTAGGCCTTAATCTACATGTAGCCTTTTGAGCAGTAAATCTACACTCTTAAAAAGATGGTTCTTCAAGGGTTCTTTAGTAAAGAAAATTCTTGAGATTGATGAAGAATGTGCTGTATATGGTTCTATACAGAACCTTTTTGAAAATGGTTCAAGCTTATTTGTAACCAAATTATGTCTAGCGTATGCTATAACCAGACCATTTTCAAAAAGGTCGTACATAGAACCATGTACAACACACTCTCCATCAAGAACCATTTCACCATGCAAAGAACAATTTAAGCATGAAATGCTTCCATACAGAACTCACGGTTCTAAATAAAACCATTCCCTTTACCAAAGAACCCTTAAAGAACCTTGAGTGTAGAGTGGGGCTTTAGGATGATGCACAAAGTACGCACTAAGATCACTCTACCCTAAAGCTCAGCTTTACCTATCACCAGGAAGTCTGCAAATACAAAGGCAAACAGTCCCCCAATCAGAATAGCTGAGGAGAGAGAGACAATGTGTGAGAGAGTGGGAGAGAGGAGCAAATGATGAAATGAAAAACAGACAGGAGGAGAGGGCTGTATTTACCACAGGGAGATTAAAATAGGTTCAGTGGAGACATCTCCTTAGGTTTGTGGGACCAGAATGACTATATATCAGGAAATAGTTTTGGAAACTAAATGATGGCTGCAGAGCCAAGGACGTCCTCCCTTAATATATCTTTAAGATGAGAATGCATGAGATCTTGATGTAGAACTGGTATGACAGTTTAACCAAGTTTGATAGTGAGACGTTCACCAACACCAACACAAGTTAGGAGATGATGAAGCATAAAGCCATGATAGAAGATTTACTGATCCCACTAAAGCTGTGAGCCACACAGCTTTTAATATTTTAAATGCATATGTTAATGAAATCATAAAAATTCAAGAAGCTAGTGCCTACATGGCCCCAGTGTGATCGCTGATGATACCTTGACCTAGAATCTGTGATTGAGACAAACAGACAAATACATACTGATTCAAACTAAGCCTAGAAATAGAAAATAAGGAGGGAAGGACAAACAGAAAGACAAAGAAACAAACAGAAGTGAGGACGTTTTGAGCACAATGATACACAGTAATATTACCACAATTCAAGTAGATTCATACCATTAGAAATTTGAATTTGAATGCAAAATCTGAATTTGAAGGTTATTATTTTGAATCTGTATCATACCATCTGAATTTAATTCTGAACTGAAACAGAATTTAAGGTTTGTAAGGTTTGTCTGGCAGGCAAAAGCAGTCAAACACAGCATCAGGCAATAACAAAGTGTTCCTGTATGGTAGGTGCTTTTTGGTAAAATGACTAGTGAATGTAGCTACAAGGGAAAGGGGGCAGCGAAGAAGAGATTGGGTTTAGCCTGCAAGACACTCGGATGTTGTTTTGGAAGTGAAAGAAAAACTGGATGCTTTTTAGAAACTGAACTTCAGAAGTTCAGTTGTATATTATCAAATTTAAGTTTCAGGATTTATATTGCTCTCCTACAGACTTCAAAATTCAGTTTCAGTTCAGAATTTAGTTTCAAATGATATGATACAGATTCAGAATAAAGACATTTAAATTCAGATTTCTAATGTCATGAATCCAACTCTATATAAAGTAGCTCAACAACAGTGGCAGTTTTACTGTGTAACACCAGCTTATTCTCTGTATATTACATTCATGAAAGTCAGTGTCCTTCAGAACTTTATTTGAGATCTACAGGTTTTCTTTTCTTACCTATCAAAACTTCTTTCCTTTCTAGGATGTTCTTCTGAGGAAGCTGAGCAGCTGAACTTCCTGTATCTATTGTGTTGCCAGTCAAATCAGGCTCCGCCCCTGTGTCGGTCACACCTTTGCCTCGTCCCACTTCATTGCCTTCCCGACCTTCATCCTCTCGGATCTCTGAATCCCCACTGGGACCTGCAGCTGCAACTTCATTATTTACTGTTGACTCTGGAGACCTCACCTGAAGGTAAAAGAGAGAAAAAGAAATGTTTAAAGCTACAGTGCAGAATTTTGGTCAAATTTGAAAAGTTTGCTGTATATTTTGTACTCCCATTGATACTGCACTTTTTACAGTGCCTTGCTAAAGTATTCAAACTCCCTGAAAGTCATCAGATTCATCTGGATTACAAATGACATTTGCACAGACTGTTTCAAGCAGTTTTTTCAATGAAAACCAATAAACATGAACTTTGAAATTTTTTCAGAGTCAGAATTAATTTTTTATAAGCAAATGAAAAACTGATTATGCTGTTTGCATAAATATTCAACCCCTTTATACAAGTACTTGGTAAAACCACCTTTGCTGCAAGAACAGCAGTGTGAAGTCTGTTAGGGTGAGTTTCTATCAGCTTTCTTCCTGGCAAATTTTCTCCAGGTTGTTCAGGTTGATTGGATTATGCTTGTTGACGACAGTTTTTTCAAATAGTGACATAGATTCTCGTTTGGATTCATCTTTTTGTTCTTCAGTGACCCCTGTGTTGCTTTGGCCTTGTGCTTGGGATCATTCGAAGGTGAAGTTTAGGTCTTTAGCAGATTGAAGCAGTTTGTCTTGCAGTATCTCACTGTATTTTGCACCGTCTATCCGTTCTTCAGTTTTAACAGGATGTCCAGTCACCGCTGAGGAAAAGCATCCCCACAACATGATGTTGCCACCAACAACTCTGAACTCTGCAGCTCCTTCAAAGTGATTACTGACCTCTCTGTAGCTTCCCTCACAAGTCACCTTCTTTCTCTGATGCCATGGTTTGAGGGATGGCCTTGTCTAGGCAGTGCATTGATGGTATAATGCAGTTTCCATTTCCTCACAAGTGATCCAACAGCACTTTCTAGGATATCTAAACACTTGGATATTATTTTGTATCCTTTTCCTTTTTCTTGTGCATGTTTTTGTCTCTAATTTACTTAAAATGTTCTTTGGTCTTCATTTTTTACAGCTTTCCTTCAGATTCACAGTCTGCTCATGGTATTTGAATTAACAGGGTATTTTACCTAGAGAAGATTAACTTGTTTAATGATTCACAGGTAGAGGCCAATTGTAGGCCAACTGTATCTTCGTTAGGGCAATATCTTTCATTTGTGTAAACCTGGAGCTTCCATAGCACACAAGCTGAAAACTTATGCAAACAGCATTTTCCAGTTAGTAATTTTTAGCACGGAGTATTTCCTTTACAAAACCAGTATCACTTTAAGTTTATTAATTTTAAGAGTCGTTCTGTTGAAATAATATATGACAGCACAAAATATCAAAGTGTCATTTGTAATCCAGAAAAATCAGATGACTTCTAAGGGGGTTGAACGCTTTTGCAAGGCAACTGTAAGAGTAAATACTGTTGGCTTTTCATATACTGTTTACCAAAGTACAAAGTTAAACTTACAATTTCAAGCTTTTAGACTCTTTACAGCAAACCTGCGGTTAATATAGTAGTTCAATGTTTTTTTTATTAATATGTGTTTTTCCATGGAACAGCGTAACAGTGGTTTCTCTGAACTTTGTTGGGCCAAGTATGCAGCCTTGCAGAACCCCACATGGAACTAACTCAGTCCTTGGTGTTGGGTGTTACCTGTACTGTAGAGGTAAGCACTGGTCGTGCGCTGCTTTCAGTGGGTCTGGCTCTGCTGGGTGTGGTCTGCGGTTTCTGTGGCCGCACAGGGGCAGTGCTGGGCGTGGTTGGACTCGTGGTGGGCTGAGCTGTGGTGGAGGCAACAGTGGTGGGAAGAACCTCTGTGGTAGTGATGTCATCTGTCAAGGTTTCCTCAGTGCTGAATGGATCATATGGAGGTGATGTTTCCGTGGTGATGAAGAGATCCTCCTCTTCTTCTGCAGTGCTCAGGTCCTCCGTGTCACCCAGTGTTACAGGAGAGTCTGTAATCACCACGGGAACTGTAGGGTACCGGGGCTCAATCGTAGTCCTTGTCCTTACTCTCTCTCTTTCTCTCTCTCTTTCACGTTCTCTCTCCCTTTCTCTTTCTCGTTCTCTCTCCCTCTCTCGCTCTCTTTCACGCTCTCTCTCCCTCTCTCTTTCCCTTTCTCGCTCTCTTTCCCTCTCCTTCTCTCGTTCTCTTTCTCTCTCTCTCTCTCGCTCTCTCTCTCTTTCCTTCTCTCGCTCTCTTTCTTGCTCTTTTTCCCGCTCCCTCTCCATTTCCTCCTGCTCTCTCTTTCTCTCCATCTCCAGTTCCCTTTCCCTCTCAATTTCTCTCTCCCACTCCACACCACTCTCTCTCTCAGTTTCTGGTGGAGGGGTGCTGCTGGGTTCTGCAGCCGGTGGGGCAGAGGGGGCGGGTCCAGTGGCCTGTGTTGTTGAAAGTGGGAGGGGCTCTTCTGTGGTGAAGGACACACCCTTTTCAGTGGGACTTACTTCTACTTCTGGGTCTAGATGAAGAGATAGATGGAGAGACAGAAATGGAAGATCAATATTTTTCAACACTTTAATGTCTGGTATGATATTTTGATCAAATTAACAGCAAGGCCCAGTGTAATTATTGTAAAGTACTGCCAAGCAACTTAGTCAACATGCTACAACACACGCTGACTCTGCCGATACACTGTCACGTCTGCTGCTGTCAAGTCAGTACATCAAAACTCAGTTTTTATTCTTTCAAACACCAGCTGCCCTTTACATTGTGAGAACACTTAATGATGAATGGACCAACAGAAATGGTCCAAAATTTGTTGAAATTAAATTTTATTTACATGAACTTGCTTGATTAACATTTCATTTATTTAATGTCCAGTCAAAAAGGCCATCAAATACAAGTTATTCCTTTTTCACCATCAGAAAACTCATATTTAACAGGAAATCACACAGAAACCTCAACAACTAAAAATAATGTAAATATAATGTCAAACTTTTGATACTTTTCCACGCCTCCAAAATTCATTCTTAGAAGTTGGTTGCATTTTCTGCTTCTCACGATCCAAATAATCCCAAACACATTCAGTGATGTTGAGGACTGGACTCTGGGGGCGGTCAGTTGACTGTTCTGAAAAGATTAGTACATTGTTCGTTTGATTTGCAAGTTTTCCTTTTTGGTCTAGTTACTTTTTTCAGTAACAGCTTCTTGATAGCTGCACATCCTTTCAGACTCATAGTGTTGAGTTGTCTTCTCACAGTGGAAGGACAGAGAGATACATCCGTGGGTTTTTTTAGACCTGAAGCAAGAGTGGAGCTTGATTTTCTCCTCTCTCTCAAAGATAAATGCTTTACGACCTGTTTATTTGATGGTTTGCATAGCTTGCATAGTTGTTAATAACTACAGTTTTGGAAACTCCTGTTTTTCACTTATTTTCCTTTGATTTTCCCCTTCAACTAATATTTAACCTCCTCAGGAATACCTACTGAAAAATGCAAGACCTGTACTGAATGACCATTTGACTGGAATTTGAATTAATAAAGGATGGCCTCCTGCTTTTGTACAGAACTGAGTCATACATACAAGTGACTGGAATGCATTAATAAAATCCTCAGTGGTTTCAGAAAAACTGCAACCACTATGGCACACATACACAAACACACATACACAAACACACACACACACACACACACACAGAAAAAAAAAGCTGTCCACACCCAGATTCCAGCAGATTAAGTGATCTTATTTACAGTAATCTGATTACTGTCTGCAAATCAGGTGTTCACGCAGAAAAACACACACACACAAAGAGCGGCGTTCTTTACTTAACAGAGTGGAGGAGAGATCTGTGACAGATGATGTGGGACATTTTACTGAGTGTCAGGTTCACAGTACGGGGGCTGAAATCCTCATAAGAACTCGTGGAAAGTGTGGCGTGAGTGAGTGTGTGTGGGGGAGAGAGAGACGGAAAGGTGTTGAGAAAATCATACCAGCTGGTCTGGGGATTGGACGTGTGTGCAGGACTTTTAAATAACGCAGCTGCCACCCCAACAAGCAATTCACACTCATCCAGATTTGCTGTCACATTGTCACAAAGTCTCTCTCTCTCTCTCTCTCTCTCTCTCTCTCTTTCTCTTGCACACACATAGAGCATATACTTACTACCTTTTGCTGTCCTTGTCAGCATCTTCAGTGTGTAATGTAATAACATTTGTGTGTATATACAACTCACTAATTCTACGACTAATCTTAACTCTAACTCTAATCATTAAAGACCCTGAAACTGGCCATAGTCTATCCTTCACTCTGTCCAGAACCATAAGCCCAGGGCTTAATTTGTAAATAATTTGTAAATAATGAGGTCCCAGATCACTGAGTAGTGATGGATCCATCAGTCCATTGTTCTGAGAACAACAGCATCTGCTTTGTTTGATTTTCTTATTTTTTATTTATTTCCTTTTCTCAGTGAGGGATTCTTGACAGCTGCACATCCTTTCAGACTCATAGTGTTGAGTTGTCTTCTCACAGTGGAAGGATGGACAGAAACACCTGTGGATTTTTTCAGATCTGAAGCAAGAGTGGAGCTTGACTTCCTCCTCTCTCAAAGATAAAAGCTTTAAGCACTGTTTATCTGACATTGACCATTTGGTGGTCTACCAGGTTTTGCATGATTGTTAGGACTCATGTTTTCTCTGTATCTCTTAATAATGTTTTGAAAAGTTTTGGAAATTCTTGTGGAAATGCTTATTTTCCTTTAACTTTCCCCTTCCTCATACAAACGGATTATCTTATATCTTATATCTCCTCAGAAATATCTCCTGAAAAATGAACAACACAATGGTTGTTTTGAATGGAAATCCATCTTAATTCCATCTCAGTTTTACCAAATTGTTATTATTCTACATAATTTAAGCATAACAGCTGAGCTTTACATTGTGTGAAAATTTCATGAAGATGGACCAAAAGAAATGCGCCAAAAAGAATTGGAATAAAATCTATTTATATTAAATTACATTAAAAGTAAAGAATGGTTTTGCCTTCCCTTGTAAAGTTACTGTTTCGGAGATACAGGTTTTGTGTTTTTGTTTGTTTGTTTTTTGCACTGTGATGATGGCCTTCAATAATTTTGGCCGTGCTTCAGTGTTTTTGGTCTCACACAAACACACACACACACACACACACAAACAAACAAACACATACACACAGACTCACAGCCAGAGCCTGAACCAGAGAAAAGGTCCTCATCATCGTAGAAGTCATCTCCAGAGCTCTCCTCATCCACTGGCCGTGATGAACTACGCTGTGTCTGAAAGAGCAAGAACAGGAATATAAAGACATTCATTAGAACATGTGATTGTGCCATGATGATTCAAATGCAAAACTGGCTTAGAGCTGAATGCTTCTCTTAAAGGGCCTGTATCATTAAAGTTTTCCTCTCCTTATTAATATTAAAAGATCTGATGCAGTATGTGATCATTGTTAAAGTTTCAAACGTACCAGTAACTCCCTATTGCATGTATGGAAAAAAGCTGCAAAAACAACCCATTTTGAAATCAGTGTGTTTGAGATGTCACAAAATCCAACTCATTTATCTATATCTGCCTATTCAGCCTGTAGCAATACCCCTCCTATTCATGCTAAAGTTATAAGGATTATTTCAACCTGTACTGCTTTTTGAATGAAGCACAATACAAGGCAGCCAATCAAAACAGAGGTCATTTGCATGTATCAGTGTACAATAACAAAAGCAGCCGGTTTAATTCTAAAGGATGATAACTGGTTTTGTTGCACAAACCCACAAAAAATGTGTGGAAAAAATTAAATACAAGAAAAATGTAGGATATGGACCTTTAGGAAGCATGTTATTTATGTTTCAAAGAAAATGATTAACAATGCATCTCAGACATGCAACTACATTAGAAGTATTCAGTGTGAGCATGTTTGGATGATTTTTACTGACATCAATAATAATAATAATAATGATAATAATAATAATAATAATAATAATAAAAATAAAGTCCTCCTGGATGACAGTGATTCAGCTCTGTAATGCGCCAAAGGCAGGCTATTTTTATATAGTTGTTTGTTATTCTATATAATTAAAAACATACTGAGTTTGCACAGCTTTAATGTATGATTAAGGTTAAATTAATTCACTGCTGTGTGTGTGAGGATGTGTGAACAGAAGGGTCTAGCGTGGGGAGCCATTTTACAGGGAGGCCCGTTGCTAGGGGCAACCCTTGCCTTTAACCCAGTTTCCCTTTTAAAGGGTTTCCAAATCCAGCAGGAGAAAAACCTTCCCTCACACCTAACGTGTCAGCTCACTCTCAAAGAGTCGCAAATAAAACAGCGAGGAATTACCTTCTTTCCAATAACGCAAACCCATCAGCAGCTACATTAGCAGCTACAGCCCCAAACCAAGCCTTTTGTTTTGCTTGCTTTGTGTATGCGTCTGAGGCTGTGTGCATACTTATGTATTCATACATGTATTTATTTTTAGCTTAGAGTGCACCACAAAAACGCTCAGATAAATTATTGTATGAAGTTGAATTAAATATCCAACACATTTCCATTCAATAAAATAAAGTACAGTTAGCACACAGGGACTTTTCTACCTTAAAAAAATAAAAATTTTGCATATTTGTAAAGCCAACAAGCCTCACAGTTCATTCAATAACAAACCAAGCTAGGAAGACGTATTTCTGCAGCAGTCCCTAACAAAGCAAAAGTTGTGTGGAGCTCAGCTATGGTCCAGCAGCAGGCTGCCCTCTTTCCCATCACGCCCCCCCACCACCACCCCCGCTGCCTTGGCCCTTCTTCCTTTAGAATTCCCCCTCTTTCACTCCTCTTTTCCTTCATCATTCTTTATCCCCTCTCTTCCCTTCCCCCCACGTTTGATATGATTGGCTGGCCAGTGTCCCAGCAAGACCCCAAAAACATTAAAAACACAGCAACTCCCTCCCACACACACATACCCCACCATCCCAATAGGGCCCAACACCCCCAAACATACCACCACATTCACCTTCAGCCTGTCTGTTCTTTTCTCTCTCTCTCACACACACACACACACACACACACAGCGGTCATCACATCAGCTGTCAAAACAGCACAAATGATGTTCTGCTGGTCTGTTTTGAAGGTGTCACAGGGCGGAGACAAGAATTCAGGCTTAACAAAGCACACAATGCACTTTGTTTTAATAGCTCTTCACCACAGAGCACTGCTCAAATAGCCACTCCATGTGCACCACACTATGTACAATTATGCAAACCATAGGCTGACTGTTCGGTAAACATCAACTCAAGAAACACTTTTTCAGTATCCTAAATGAATATCTCATCGTTGTCAGGACAAAACCTCATATTTCCATTTTTCCTTTTGAAAGTTATTTATAAACACCAGCTGATCTTTACTTTGTGTCAAAATTTCAAAAAATGTAATGTAAAAAGATTTTTACATTAACTTCCATTACAAGAAAAAATTTCACATGTTATCTCTATATCTATCTGTCTATATATATATATATATATAGAAACTTATACACACACACACACACACACATATATATATATATATGAAAATATACAGTCATGTGACTATCAAGTAAGTACATATGTGGATATATATGGACATATCAGTAACATATCAGTATTTGATCTTCAGTTAAACAGTGTGTATAGTTATGTATGTAACAGAACAAAAACAATGGAAATATGACTTTGCAATCATTTATTTACAAAAAAACAATGTTATTTTTGTCTGTTGAAAAAGTAAATACACCTCTGGCTTCAGTAATTGGTGCTGCCCTCTTTGGCAGAAACAACAGTATGGAGGTGTTTCCTATAACTGTCTACTGATTTCTCACATCTACTCGAAGAACTTTTTGCCCATTCCTCTCTGCAGACCTCTTTCAACTGCAATATTTGAGGGATTTCTTGTATGTACAGCCTGTTTCAGATCCCCCCACAGCATTTCAATGGAATTCAGATCTGGACTCTGAATAGGCCATTCTATAACCCTCCATTTCTTCCTTTAGAACTATTCCTTGGTGAATTTATTTGTATGTTTGGGATCATTATCCTGTTGGAAGGTCCACTTCTTCAGCAACTGTTTTACAGATGGTCTTGCATTCTCCTCAAGCACCCTCTGGTATGAAAAAGAAAACTTAGTTGATTCTATGAATGCAAGTAGGCCAGGCCCTGAGGCAGCAAAGCAGCACCAAACCATCACATTTCCACCACCATGCTTTATAGCTGGGATGAGGTTCTTCTGATCAAATGCTGTCTTTGGTTTTTACCAAACATAGATTCTGGGACTGTGGATAAACATCTCTATCTTTGACTCGTCTGTCCATAGCACATTGTTCCAGAAGTCCCAATTTTTGCCTAGATATTCTTTAGCAAACTTTTGTTTTGCCCCAAATGTTCTTCTTAGACAGCAAAAGCTTCCGCCTGGTGCTCCTCCCATGTAGGTCAAATTCTGTCTTTTTGTAACGGTAAATGCATACACTTTTACATCAACAGTGGCAAGAGCTACCTGCGGGTCCTGTGATGACATTTTGGGGTTCTTGGAGACTTCTTTTAGCATTTTATGGTCTGCTCCTGGGCTCCTGGGGCAGCCTGGCATAGACAAGTTGGCACTGGTTTTAAACCTTCTTCACTTCTACACTTGTAGATGATCTTTTGGACAGTGTCATAGGCATCTACAACTTTCATTCTGAAGGCCTCAGAGAGCTTTTTTGATCCAGGCATGATGATACTATACACTCCAATAACAAAGAGCAAATCAGACCAGATATCTGAGGTTTAAATAAGACAGATTCCTTCAAGAAATTCTCTAACGATGTTCTAATCATTAGAACCTGACCAGGTGCAGCTGATTTCAATTTGGCATATTTGAATCAGTGATATCTGTAGGGCTGTACTTACTTTTTCCACATAAAAAATTGCATTACTGTTTATTTCAATTGCATAAAAGTTAAAAAAATATTAATTTTAAGTGTTACTTCTTAAATTGTCACCTCCATCTATCAACACTGTTTAAATGAAGACTCGATAGCCATATCTCCAAACATACATACAAATATAAATATCTTTTTTTGCATCTTTATAGAGCTTTTAAAAAAGGTTTGCTGTACAAAGTTTTATTGGCCTTGAAACGTAACCGCAATTTTAAAAGCAGCTGGTATTTTCAAATGTTGTAAAAAAAAAAAAGACAACTGAAATTAAAAGTTGTCACAGAACAAAATATCTCAACCACTTAGAGCCATATAAGACAGATCAGCAAAGACCTTGGTGAAACAACACATAGAAATTCACGAGTAAGAGAGTTCCCAATAAGCAAAAACAAGACCAAAAAAGCAATAAAAATATGCCATATAAAAACTCAATTTGTTTTCTTCATAACTTCATTTCAAAATGCTGGCTGCCCTTGACATTACATGAACATTTCATGCTGAAAGGACCAACAGGAATTATTCCAAACTTACTTGGAATAAAACTTAATGTTTTTCCTTCACCTATAAATTTATACTGAGATATTCTGAAGTTAAGAGTGTTTTTTTTTCTCCTGTAAAACCTCCATTTCAGATATAAGAGGTTTTGCCTCGACTATGACAGTATGATATGGGTTCTAGCTTTCTGAACCTACTGACCAGAGTGCCTGCACATTCTGCATGTGACTGTATGCCTGCGTATCCTCCTCTGTAATGACAGGGTTTCTTTGTGGTGTAATTTGGTAAAACACGTGATTAAGGGGTAGATTTGGCCCTGACTGTGGGGGTGAGTTCACTCATGGACAGAGCATGTGAGATGTGTACATATGGATGTGTGTGCATGGGTGTGAATGAGAGAGCAATAATGAAAGAAGATGCTGAAAATGACAGCCATTTGGCAAATTATATATCATCAAATAATAGTGCTGTTTAGTGTGTGTTGTCCCTGATAAATAAATAAAGCACTGTATATAATACAGCATAAAACACAGGCTTTCATGGAAATCCATTTCTCATCTCTCTCTCTCTCTTTCTCTCTCTCTCTCGTACTGTCGCTCATCTTCCACTCGTCCTTCTCTGCTATGATGAATTGGTTTGACTTGCTTGTGTTTTACATTGGCTTCTGGCCAACAGCCTGGCCAGAACAGCTGAGAATGAGAGAGAGAGAGAAAGGGAGGGGAAATAGAGAGCAAGAGAAATACAGAGAGGAAGAAAGAGAGAGGGAGAAAGAAATGAGAAGAAAGAAAAAGAGATAGAAGAGAAAGAGGTAGATAGAGACAAAAGGAGAGGAGAAAGAGATAAAGAGTCAG